AAATGTGATTTACAAATCAGGAAGCAATGGTTGGAGGAAGAAGTGCTTGAACTTTTTAAGTTTTAGTGGCTTTCCCACTATGGTGGCAGCAGGACCTGTATCAGAATCTGTGTTATGCACTCCTGCATTTGCTACCCTGACTTTAGGACCCAGGACAGGACCCAGCATAAACCAACAACAGCAGCTATGATTTGCTGCTTGGAAACAAATCACCGTTGGCTTCAGAAATTGTTTTTCATACTATTAGGTACTTGTGCTACTTAATCTCAGAGCACTTTCCAGGGCAGTATTGCTTTAGAAAATAAAATGAAGCTGTTCCTAGACAGAGCATTCCAGGAATATTATTTGCATAAGAACACCAGAAATTTGTGGGTGATCTGAAAGACCATTTCATGGTTCAACTAAGTTGCACAGCTCCTCCTTCCTTAAACTGTTTGCATGAGTTCACCTGAACAGCTGAAAAGTCAGTCCTGACATCTCACTAACACTTGCAGTGCTCCTGAGACAGCAGTTAACAAGATTCAGGAATAATCCCAGTCTGTGGTAATCCCTCTTTTAGGGAATCTGCGCTAACTATGGTCTTTCACTTCAAAATAGCTAGCTGTGTGGTTTTTAGGTGCAGATTGTACCCAGTCCAGGAATGGCATGTGTGTCTTCCCTGAGCCAGGGTTGATACGTGTCTTACAAAAGCTGAGCTGCTCTGTTCTCACAGTGGCAGTTTCTGATGAGGCAGCCCTAAGTACATTCTCCTGTCATTAACAGATTCTCCAGATGAAACCATAGAATCATAGAAGCATAGAGTCATAGAACAGTCAGGGTTGGAAAGGCCCTTAGGAGCATCTAGGTCCAACCCCCCTGCCATGGGCAGGGACACCACACACTAAACCATGTCACCCAAGACTCCATCCAGCCTGGCCTTGAACACTGCTTGGGATGAAGCATTCACCACTTCTTTGGACAACCCATTCCAGGGCCTCACCACCCTCACAGTGAAGAACTTCCTCCTTATATCTAATCTAAACTTCCCCTGTTTAAGTTTGAACCCATTAACCCTTGTCCTACCACTACAGTCCCTAACGAAGAGTCCCTCCCCAGCATCCTTATAGGCCCCCTTCAGATACTGGAAGGCTGCTCTGAGGTCTCCACGCAGCTTCTCTTCTCCAGGCTGAACAGCCCCAACTTTCTCAGCCTGTCTTCATATGGGAGGTGCTCCAGCCCTCTTATCATCCTCATGGCCCTCCTCTGGACTTACTCCAACAGCTCCATGTCCTTTTTATGTTGAGGACACCAGACCTGTACACAGTACTCCAAGCAAGGTCTCAGGAGAGCAGAGTAGAGGAACAGGATCACCTCCTTTGACCTGCTGGTCACGCAGCCCAGGATATGGTTGGCTTTCTGGGCTGCAAGCGCACACTGAAGACAGCTCGTGTTAAGCTTCTCATCTGTTAACACCCCCAAGTCCTTCTCTGCAGAGCTGCTCTGAATCTCTTCTCTGCCCAACCTGTGCCTGGAATTGCCCTGACCCAGGTGTAGGACTTGGTTGAACTTGGCTTGGTTGAACTTGATGAGATCGGTACTGGCCCACCTGTCAAGCGTGTCAAGGTCCCTCTGGATGGCATCCCTTCCCTCTAGAGGGACCTTGACATGCTTGAGAGGTGGGCCAATGCCAACCTCATGAAGTCGTGGTTTGTCTTCATCTACTATTCAGCAATCTATTCTGCATTGTATTTTACAGTTGCAAATCTGTAACACCTCCTTTTAAAGTTGCACAGTATCTGATTCTGAAATATTTGTGGGATTTTATTCCTCATTCTGTGTTTCTTTCTCCACTTTCCTTTGCAGTGCCAAGTGTAGATCAATCTATAAATAATGTGGCTGGACCTTAGCAGCATGGGTGCTTGTGCTTCTTTCAAGGATGAGCCAGTTTGCAGATCTGACAGTCCCAGCCTGTGTATAAAATGATTAGTTGGGATTCTGAAATGCAGTTTAATAGTACAAGAAGCCCCTGTGAGATGTGAAGCACACTGGAACTGCTGACATGCCTGCACAAAAAGATCTTGGGCTTTCTGCAGGTGAAGTTCACTGAACATCCTGGTAACATCTACTCCATAGTATTAGCTATTGGTTTAGGATTGCCTTCCTCTACCCTCACACACATTAACAGTCCTGGTAAAGTCTACATAGATGGTGAATTAAGGCAATTCTGAGGGATTAGATTGAATGTCAGAAAATGTCTTATTTTTAGCTTTGACCTGCTGCATGACTTCAAGTAGCATTATTCTCTTTCTGTGCCTGTTTAATATTCTTTTGGCCACAAAAGGTATTTCTACAGATGAAAAGACCTGTGTCAGAAGTGCTATCTATCATCATTTAAGTAAAGCAAGCAGTTAAGTATCAGAAAAGCTTTAGACAAAAACATGAAAGAAATGTAAAATCGCTTTTATGGGAGCCTTGATAATAATCTTGAATGTATTCCTTGTCCAAAATATGCATTTCATTTGCACATCAATGAAAAACTGGGATAGACACCACTGAATTATGTACTTTGAGTATAATGGAATTAATCCTTCGAGTAATTTTAACGCTATTAAGTTTCAAAAACATTTTATAAAGACAGAAAGGGAAAAAACCAGTAACGGGTCAGAAGCAGATGATAGTACCACAGTGGTGCCCCTCTTCTCAGCAGTAATCAGTGGTGGGATGTTTACTGGCATGAGGATGGGCAGAGGTACTTTCATCATCCTTCATTGCTCGGGACAGGACTGCTGTCACTTGTACACAATGAACATTCTGTTAGGGCCATAAGCACAAACATAAATGTTACCAAAGGGGAACTGGTTCACCTCATGCATTTGTCTCTTGGGTGTTTTTTGGATTTTTTGGTTTTGGTTTGTTTTTTTTTTTCCCCCTGACTCTAGCATATCAAGTATTGTTAGGCATCTTACCCAAACAGAGGCAAACTGTGAACCATTATTAAACCATGTCACCGAACAATGACTATGTTGAATTAACTTAGACATTAAGAAGTTCTTCCCTGTGAGAGTGCTGAGGCCCTGGCACAGGTTGCCCAGAGAAGCTGTGGCTGCCCCATCCCTGGCAGTGTTCAAGGCCAGGTTGGACACAGGGGCTTGGAGCAACATGGTCTAGTGGCAGGGGTTTGGAAGTGGATGAGCTTTAAGGTCCCTTCCAACCCAAACCAGTCTGTGATCCTGTGATTCTATAATTTAATTAACACAGTCCAAGTACAAAGCACACGCACACACACACACACACACACACTAACTATTCTTGTGTCCCATAAGCCAGTAAATGTCTCTGCTTAGAAAAAGCACTTCTAACTGCAGAGCATGATTCTATGGAGTGAAATGGGGGGGGGGGGCGCGACCAA